CCCCCCCTTTTTTTTTAAGTTTTTTTTTCAAATTTCAAACATTTTTAATATATATATTTTTTCCATTTCTCAATCATCGGCAGTATTATTACTGTATTAGTATTAGGTTAAGAATTTCAAACATCCTATCCTATCCATGGTGTGATGGAAGACAGAGAACAATTATGAGACTAAGTCACGCAAAAGTGGCAAGTACACGAGTTCCGTGGCTTCCGTAAAGCTCGGTAAGTAGATGAATGGAAACAATCTATTGAAATTCTTTTTTTGTTTTATTGTTTTCATATTCTTGTTTTTATTCAAAAAAAAAAAAAAATCAATTTCTCACGTGGTCCTCATTTTGCCATGCAGATGATCAACGAGACCGAGATGCTGAGGTTGTCTCTATTTGATGGAGAGAACACGCTAGGGTGAGTGTTTCTTCTCCTTCTTCCTTCTTCTGCTGTCGCATTCCAGTCTCGACACCAGGGATTGGGTAGGTTCATCCCTGGTGTGGACACTGGAATGGGTGAGCGCTTCTTCTTCTTCTTCTTCTTCTTCTTCTTCTTCTTCTTCTTCTTCTTATGCCTTCTGGTGTCCCATTTCAGTCTCCACACTCGTATTTTTCATGGGTAATAGGGCCTCGATGCTGTCCCGTTCCAGTCTCCACTTGCCGAACATGAAAAATCCGGGTGTGAATGTATCATTGTTTTGCTGCCGCCTTGTTCATCGAGGCCCTATGACCCATCTTGCCATTCCATTTGTCAGATTTGCTCGCTCGTGGATCGAGGGGATTGGAGGCCCTATTACCCATCTGCGAAGGGGTATTTGTTCGAAACCTAGGCTACCAGAGTGGCCCGGGACCGCTTGTACGGCCGGGCCCAAAAAAAAAAGAAAAAGAAAGAAATTGGTGAAGAATTTTGATGGGACCCTCAGGCAAAAATTGGTCAGTTTATTTTTACTGCATAACATAGCTGTTTTTCCGGATTTTTTTTTTTTTTTTTTTCGTTCGCTGGGACCTTCCATGGTCCTTGCACGGCCGGGATGCCCGGGAAAACAGGGTGACCCGGGCTGCCCGGCTGGTATCCTAGCTTAAAACTCGCTTGTTTTTCGTCTTTCCATGCCTTTTTATTCGCTGGTATCCTCTGTGTAGCCTTCATGCCAACAAGCCAATGGTAAATGAAGGAGTTGAAGGAGCGAGCTTTGCGTGCCCGTGTATGTGTGTGTTGTGAAATTGTGTGTGTAGTGTGTGTTATGATGTGTGTGAAGTTTTATGTTGTGTGTGTGTGTTTGTGTGTTTGACTGCCTTGCTTGCTGCCTGTTTGTCTGCACATCTTCTGAGTAGTCGTTGTATGTGTCTGTTTTTTTTTGTTTTTTTTGTGTGTGTGTGTTGGTATGCCTGTTTGCACGTGCATCTTGTGAGCAATGGTCCTGTGATTTCCGAAGTTTCAAATGCCTTTTTTTTTTTGTTGTGGGCTGAATTACAGGCCTCGTCATTCAGGGTTAGGACTGCAATGCAGCGTTATGAAAGTGCACACTCAAGACTACTATTCTTCCAACTTCTTTTTTTTTCTTCTTTTTTTTAATACTCGCAGATGTTGTTAAAAGGTGCTCCCTTGAATCCTTTAATTAATGGTCAGGATAATGAATAGGAATCGCAAAGCAGAAGTTCACTGGATTCCCAACATACTCTGTGAGAGGGGTAATGATGCCCACCTCTTGTCAGCGTTATTGCTCTCCATTTGATGCATGATGTGAACTGGATTGTGTGGGTCTCTCTCTCTCTCTCTCTCTCTCTCTCTCTCTCTCTCTCTCTCTCTCTCTCTCTCTCTCTCTCTCTCTCTCTCTCTCGTTTGCTCTTGTGTGTGTGGGTGTGTAGTTGACCATTATCTTAATGTCAGGGTTTGAGAAGTGAATGGGCTGACTTTTTCGATGTGTTTTACTCCTCTGTACTTCCTTCTGCAGGCTACCATTTTCATCTCCGGAAGTGTATGATGGTGCTCTTGCAGCCGCCGCCATGAAGGCCGTTGAGATTGGAGCTGTTCTTAGTGGCGTCGTGCAGATTCCTGCTGGTCCTACGGCCCCAGAAAAGAAAAAGAAGGTAAGTACTCCAGGCTATATACTATGCTTGAAGACGATCCATTATATATATTTATTTACTTATTTATTTATTTATCTATTTCGGGGGGGCGGGGGCAAAGAATTTTGATCCGAGCCTGAGGCAAAAGTTGTTAAGTGTATGTTTCTGTACGACATAGGTTTTTTTTTTTTTTTTTTTTTTTTTGTGTGTGTGTGTGTGCAGGGATCTTGTTCGGCCCTTGCCCGACCGGGCCGCCCGGTCAACCAAGGTGGCCCGTGTGACAGGGTTGGTACCGCAGACTGCTTCTAAGTTACCTGCGTCCAGTCAGTCGATAATGGTCCCTCAAGGAGCTGTTGCCCTTTAAATCGAACAGTACTTTGCCCGACCAGTTTTTTCCGACGCGGCGGTTAACGTGCCACAAGTTTTGCATGTCGGCCTGCCGGTGCAAAATGGCTGATGGCACCAGCCAAACGGAGGCGCGTGCCGGTTCAATTTTTTTTGGCGATCAGGGCGTTTTGAGCCTTGGGAAAAAGAGTCTCAGGAGTACTGATGGTTTGGGAAAAAGATATATGTGTGCGCGAAGATCCTGCATTGCCCCAGGTCATTTCAGTGCTATCACCTTTGCAGACAATTCACGGACACTGGGGGATAATGGCGAGAGGGTGAGGGGGCCCTTCAGAGGATCATCACTACCGTCTTCACCTGAATAGAACGCCCAGTCATTATTAAAACAGTTTTCACCTTTGGCAGTAGCCGATGCAGATCCCAGGGGTCAATCCCTTGACCTCAGCTTACCTGTGTACAGTATCTGCACAGTTCCCTGGAGTTGAACCCGTGACCT